GAAACTCACATACCTCTGGTAGCGTAAGGGTGAACTGAATAGGTTGTTCGTAACTAGCAGCGGTGTTCGTCAAGGGTGCCCTCTTTCGCCATTCATGTTCAATTTCGTCATAGACGAAATACTGGAGAACACACTAAGTGGTCTCCACAATGTAGGTATTGAACGGGCAGCTGGAGAAAAGCTGTGCGATTTTGAGTACGCTGACGATATCGTTTGCTTGTTCGAATGCATGCAGGATGCACAAAGAGCACTTGATAGATTATCAAGTTCTGTTGCTCCGTTCGGCTTGTGCTTTGCACCTTCAAAGTGCAAAGTGATGCTACAGGACTGGGTGTCGCCGAGTTCTGTTCTAAAACTAGACGGTCAGGAATTAGCTGAAGTTGACTGCTTCTCGTACATGATCAGCTGTGTGACCAACGACGGTAGCGCATCAAACGAGATAACCGGCTTGTGCAGCTTACGTAGGACTAAAACACCACTGGCGACGACGTGAAGTTTCACGGAAGTTGGAAAGTCGAATGTACTGCTCCACTGTACGGTCAGCTGTGCTTTACGGTTGTGAGATCTTGAATTTGCGGGTAGAAGACATCCGTCGCCCAGTGATTTTCGACAATCGATGCTTACGTAGTCTGGTTCAGGTTGGATGGAGTGAGCGGGTTAGTAACTTACAAGTAAGTCGTCGGGTGTTTGGGAATTCGTGGACCAAGAAGATGCAATCTTATCGAATTGAGCTCAATAGGCCCCGTTGGTTAGGACCCGTTTTGCATATGTCTGACGGTTGTTTACCGCAGCGCGCCTTATTCGCAGTAGCTGTTGCAGGCTGGAGAAAGCCACGTGGAGGTCAGCAGATGACGTGGAGACGAGGCATGAAGAAATGCACAGAGCGATTAGGTAGAGTAGGTGTCTCTCGTCTTCCGGGGTGGGGTTCAAAAGACTCCGTAATCGCATGGTTGGAGACACTGAAGGTCAGGGCCGCGAAGCGACAGGAGAATGATGATCATGCTGTCGCTTGAAAACGTGTGTATGCATACTTGGGCTGTGTGCTCTATGTGTTCACCATAAAGGTTTGCTTTCTTTTCTCGTCCCTAAAAATAGATCCAATCCCTGTCGTCCTTACACATTATCATTTATCTTGTCTGCAATATGAGTTTGGTAGCGATCCGTGAAGTTCGCTTCACTGTATTACGCTGTACAACGATGAATGATGATGATTATGATGATCACCCAAACGTTCAGCACGCAGTGAGGTGAGGGCGGGGCGACTAAACATCAAACGAATGCTCATCCGATGAGTCGGTAAAATTAAATACACAAAAAACATGTTGAATTCCGTATCATTTCAAGGCTACTACTGGTCACAACCAAGCACCCTAAGCAGTTATGGACTTGACGATTAGGCAGACTACGCAGATAAATTGAGAGAGAGAGAGAGAGAGAGTAAAACATACCTCTTTCTGATGGCACTTGGTCAAATGAGCCAGTTCCGTCGCACGGATTTGTTTGTGATTCACATAGAATGCCCAGAACGGTGGAGATTTCGCGGACCCGTCAAACACTGTCAACAGCGATTCGAACTGTGTCTGTGAAGAAGCGGTGTGAGATTGCAGGGGTTGGGGAGGGGTGGACGAATATTACGGGAAACAAAGTGAATATGCGCCGAAAACCGGCAACGGTAATCGCCCGACCTCATCCGGAACAGGGAAACTGGATCCGGTCAAGCAATTGTAGAGGAAGCTTCACCAAATACCTTATCCAAATGAGGATTATCTCACCTAATTGAGGGGACGAAGAACGAATATCCGGGACAACAGACGAGTTGATGAACCAATTGCCACCGATCTACCAAGTTGGGCCTAAGAGCACTCGGGGGGTGTATTAACTGACTCTAAGGCACTCTAGTCCCGATGGTCACGGGTGAGAATGCGTGTCGGGTTGTGTTGAGCACCTTGAACATGTAAACGACACTCAGATTGTATGTGATTTGATGGAACGGACACAGATTCCAAAACAGACAGCGATCTCTAACCACCGCCTCAGTGCCTTGCAAGTCAGGCAATGATCAAACGAAATATTTGATTGTTGTCACCAACGCCTTTGTGTTTTGGTTTTCATTCGTCGAGGCTAAGACAAGCTAATTTCCTCAACACTTGATCGTGAATTGCGAAGAAATCATCTGCTCTGATCTGAGCAATCAGGGAACAATATCTCTTCCATAAATATTGTTGTATCATAATTTATGCAGGGTATAGTCTGCGTTCAGAAGAGTGGATGTATATGCTAATCTAAACCAGTAAACACTGGCTCCTCCTCCTCCTTCAACCGGAGGCTTGATCTCTTTAAGAACGTAGGAGGAAAATGTATAAAAAATAAAATACATAAAAAAATTCAACATTACACTTCCAGCGAAACTATTTGTCATCAGTGCTTCCAAAATCTTCAGTATAGTCGGGGATAGGTGTCTACGATTGCGGCTGGTCACCNCTTGCACCTCGCAAAATGCTCCCATACGACCAAGCGTCTCTACTAGCCTCTACTGCGGAGGCCCTTCTCATTGCCTTCTCGTGGAACGGAGGTGTTTTCCCACCAGATTGAGAGGACAAAAGCCGACATCCGGGGGTTTAACCGGGTTGATGGACCACTGGTAGTTCACCTAGGGAAGTTGGCTAAAAAGACGTGAATAGGGCCTCCTCAGCAGAAACTGTTTGAGACACTGGGTCCTATTGAGATGCATTCCAAGGTACAACGGAAGGGTGATAGGACAACAACCCAAAGTACGAACTCTTGATCGTAATGAGGCTTACGGAGGCGAACAATCACGTGACATTATATATATATATATATATATATATATATATATATATATAATTGTCATCAGTTGAAGCATAATTTCCTACCCGTCACCATTCCCCTCTTCTGAAGACCAATAACTACGATAGAAGTGATGCTCACTTTAGGCTGTCTTACGCAAATTATTTTTCCCACATTTTGAGCGCAATCACACAACGGATTTTATGGTCAGAGTGAACGTGGAAATTTGAACCGTAAAGAAAACCAACTCATTCGAATCAAAACATGTACCAACTCATCCGAATTGGCCAGATTACGCAAACGCCGTCGCTGGGACTGTATCCATTCAGAATGCTCGCGAAGTTTGGTCAACAGCGCTTTGGCTTGGCGAGTGAAGGCCGATACGCGACAAGTGTGCACGAATTGTTTTAGCTAGAAACCGAGAGAAGGGGGAAAGTGCTGAATTAGGAATTTGATAAACGAACCGGATAAGTTTCTGATTTCACATAACTTTTGCGTGCAAGGAACCCATCCAGTCATTTATCACCATACTACACCAATCACTGAGGCACTTCACGACATGCTACTAATATGAATGAATATTCGATTTTAGATGGATGTGCGTATGTTCAAGGGGAACTTACCGCATTGATCACTGGTAAGGCGTACNTGCCGCTTCGGTCAGTAGATCAATCAACCAGCTGACTATCGCATCCAATGACGCAGTTTCCCGACGCTGACTGGGACTGAAGTGGAGCAACAGACGCAGATCGAGAGGTGCTTTGGACGCACTGGAGGCGCGACGATTGAAATTGACCAATTGGAAAATATCGAGTAGTAGAGGTAAGCTGGGCACCAGGAGTCGGCGAGTCGGAATCAAAGCATGACCAG